TACTTGAAAGTCATCTTTCACCGTTTCTCGGGTATTGCCTGTTGTGTCTTCCAACGCGTCTATCGGCGAAAACTCCACGGTTTTTGGATTTTGATCTTCCATATGGGGCATCGGTGTGGATTCCGTTGTCTTTTTCTCCACTTCATCTACGCTCTGGTCTGGTGTCTCTAGGTCGATTTCGATTGTGGGCTCCACCTGTTTTTCCCTCGCATCTTCTCGCGTCTTGCTCTCGGTGCCACTTCTCGTGCTGACCATGCTAACTGAAAAGTTATTTTTTTTGTTTTGCCTGGGCCCCTTGATGTCGTTCCACGCAGCGACGAGTTATATTTCGTGTTTGATCCACTTGACCTTTTTTCAAGCACCGGTACCCTACTCCGTCTCATTATTTCTATTTACAATTGCTCTTATTTACAATATTATTTTATACACAATTCTATTCTAAGAATAAAAAATTTTGTGGAAACAAATTCTTAAAAGAAAATATACAACGTGATAAAAACCTTGTTCCAGTTCTCTAAAATCTTCGAGTAATTTTCTTTATTCGTGTCCCAACTGTACCGGGTTCCAATTAGTCTTGTTCTGTCTTAATCCTGTCTTAAAACAGCTTGTTGTAATTTTACTTCAATTTTTATACTGTCCTAAGACTTCCAGTTACCGTCCCTCCTCTTCTTCGTACCGTCCCAGGCTTCCTTTTACTGTCCCAAGACTGTTCGGTAATGTCCCAGTACTCCGTCAGTCTCCCAAGACCCCTGACCTGAGAGTAGTGTCCCAAGGCTAGTGTCCCAAGGCTAGTGTCCCAAGACCACTGTCCCAAGGTTAGTGTCCCAAGGCTAGTGTCCCAAGACTACTGTCCCAAGGCTAGTGTCCCAAGACTACTGTCCCAAGGCTAGTGTCCCAAGGCTAGTGTCCCAAGACTACTGTTCCAAGGCTAGTGTCCCAAGGCTAGTGTCCCAAGACCACTGTCCCAAGACCCTTGTCCCAAGACCCTGTCCCAAGACCCTTGTCCCAAGACCCTTGTCCCAAGACCACTGTCCCAAGACTACTGTTCCAAGGCTAGTGTCCCAAGACTACTGTCCCAAGACTACTATCCCAAGGCTAGTGTCCCAAGACTACTGTCCCAAGACCACTGTCCCAAGACCCTTGTCCCAAGACCCTGTCCCAAGACCCTTGTCCCAAGACCCTTGTCCCAAGACCACTGTCCCAAGACCCTTGTCCCAAGACCACTGTCCCAAGACCACTGTCCCAAGACCCTGTCCCAAGACCCTTGTCCCAAGACCACTGTCTCAAGACCACTGTCCCAAGACCCTGTCCAAGACCCTTGCCCCAAGACCACTGTCCCAAGACCACTGTCCCAAGACCCTGTCCCAATACCACTGTCCCAAGACCACTGTCCCAAGACCCTGTCCCAAGACCACTGTCCCAAGACCACTGTCTCAAGACTGTATCAAGACTGTTCTGGTCCAACACTGTCCCAGGACTTCTTTGGCACTGTCCCAAGACTGTTGACAAGTGTCTGAGCAGTGGGACCTCTCTCTTCTTCGTTATGGGGACTTCTTGATTCACTGTACCTTGTACCACCACTCAAGCTCTAGTAAAATTTCCCCAAAAACCCTCTCTTAAAAGCCAAATGCTGACCCCCCTTTTTTCTTATTTCTTTTTAGTTACCTCTATTTCAATGTTCCAAGCAACTTGAGACCAAAACCTGTGCGCAGGTATCTTGTGATTACCTGTTCGTATAAAAACTAAACACAAATCCTCCCCAAAATGCAACAAAAAATCCAAGCCAGAAAAAGTAATAAAAACTGAAAAATGAGCCCACCTAAAATTCAAAGGTGACCAATGTCTACCTTTCGTCGAAAAAAAAATGTCTGGTACCTAATTGCCACGCGTTTCCTTCCCCCCTGCTAGCGATCTTATGGGGTATCACAAAAACTGTCTATGTCCGTTCCCCCCTACCGATCCGACCAGGGTACCTACCTTAACCTAATTCCAATTTTGGATATCCTCTTCCTATGACCAACGCGTGTAAATGACTAATGTAACTAAATCAACGATGTCGACCAATTAGTTACTCTAATTTCTCCCCTTTTTACAATTTACAACCGCCAACCTCTAACTTAACCAGCCCCCCTTCTAACCTCCCCCCTTTTTAGCCCCCCTTCTTAAGCCTAAAATCACCTTAAGCGCCGGGTGCTAAACCTCTCAAGAGAAAACCGTAGACCTGTCTCCAGGCCTGCTCAAGTAAAAACGTTCCTCAAAACCGGGGGATTTCGCTTATCCAATTTTACACTTATCTCCTATAATGTAATTTGGATTTTAACGATACCCGTTCTGCCCAACTTGCGAACTCGAGATTTGCCAAATCCTTCTTGGCTGCTTTCCCACTCGACTGGTCACCTGTTCCAGTCCAGTCTCCTAATGGTTCAGCTCAAGTGTTCCTGAACTACTTTCCCACTCGGCCGGTCACCTCTTCCAGTCGAGTCTCCTATTGGTTCAGCTCAGTTCCAAGCTATCTGAAAACCCTTGACAACGCCCCACTCTCGGGCTCTTTATTAAGGTTACTGGGTTAAATTACTAGGTTGATCGAAACGATCGAACTTGTAAAACAGTATGGGTATACTATTTAATTAATATAAAGGTTTGATCCAACTAATCTGGTGTCAAAGTCACTGTCTTTTTTCGTTTTATGGTTTTTGTTCCTTTTTCTATTCTTTTCTGGTTTTTGTTTTGCTTTTTGTCTTTTTGCTCGTGTTTTTGTCCCCCTAGTTGCCCCCCTTTACTCGGTTAGCTAAGCCTCGTTCGGAGAGCGTACCAGGAAGTTTTCTCGAGTTTTCTTAAAAAGCTATCACGGTACAACCGGAAGGTTTGCACGTTCCTGTCGAACCGCACCGCCGGTACCCTAGAATGGGCATTCAGCCCGAAGCTGTCTCAAGTGGGTTCGACTCCGTAGTCTTGATGTCGTAAACACCCAGGAGCGCCATAAAAACACTATGTAACATTCGTCTACTGCAGTCACACATGAGGCTTAAGAAAAATAGGCCCTATAACTATTGGCTCAAGAGTCAGGGACACTATCTCTTGTGTTTTTCCACCTCAAATCAGTCGGAGCCAATTCGGTTCGCTTGTGACACGAGACCACGACCCGTTACAGCTTAAAGGCTACTACTAAAATATCCCCCCCACTCTAGAATTAATAACGTCCCCATACTCAGGTCTCTAGATGCCCAAAATACATGAACGCCGTTAAAAACCGGGTCGGAACAATCCGTTAAGTTACTTTTTATTAGACAGTGGAACTTCGATCCATTTCAGATGGATCAACCTAAAACTCGCCTTACCTCAACATAACAATTATAAAACACACTCTAGAAATTTAACTTAGTACTCACATTGTAGCACGCTCAAGAATCAGGAAGTAAATAAGTCGGTGTGCAACTCAAGAATCAATAAAGTAACTAAAATGAGTTTGATATTTGTCAGTTTTAATAACAAGAACAAGTTTGTACTCTAGAATGTCAGTTCTCGTGAACCATTGGGACACTCTAGCTGTCCACCTTTCCACCGAAGGTTCACTCTAGTCCAGTTTAGAATAATACTCCAATCACAACAATCCAGTTCGTGGGGATGCGCTCGTCTCTGTTCTAGATGGGACAGCTCTACTCTAGATTATTATCGCTACTGAAATTGCGAATAGCAATTTCCCACTGATTTTTCTAGCAACTTTCCCGCGATTGTCACTCGATTGTTCTGACTTCTCTTTTTTGATTTTCAGTTATCGCGAGAAAATCGTGCATAACAGGTTCCATTCGAAACTTTGAAAAATTAAATTTCACTCCAAAATTAAGTGTTTTTTGCTTCTCTCAAGGTCAAACTTCCAAATATGACCGACTGGCACAAATTGGAGAATTATTTTTGCCTCGATATCATTGCATATATAAAGCAAATTCGACAATTTGAGTTTGACTTGTTTAGGGTAAATGTTCTTGAAATATCTAGAATATCTATATCTTCCATATCTAGAAAATTCCAAGAACTTCCATATCTAGAAAATTCCAAGGATTTTGACTGGAATACATGATGAAGGGACTCATGACTGTAACCTCGGTTACTATGATACTTTTGACCTTCTGATTACCTCTAAAAATGTTCTTGGGTAAATGTTCTTGAAATATCTAGAATATCTATATCTTCCATATCTAGAAAATTCCAAGAACTTCCATATCTAGAAAATTCCAAGGATTTTGACTGGAATACATGATGAAGGGACTCATGACTGTAACCTCGGTTACTATGATACTTTTGACCTTCTGATTACCTCTAAAAATGTTCTTGGGTCTGAGAGACCTTGGAAAGCAACCCCTTGGAATTACCGTCCTGTTTAGTAGAATGATTCCTTCGCTCATGATGCTGGTTATAAATTGCTATGCTTCGGGAGGAGCAATAACTGTCAGTGTTTGCAGTTTGCTGTCATCTTTTTGTCACAGTTAATGTTTTTGAGATTGTTATTTTTTGTTGCAAGGTTGTGGGGAATTGTTTCAGTATATCGGAAGCACAACTTCGAATTGACTGCGCCAGATTTTCAGCTGACTTGTATTTTTTTCGAGAATGAAGAGTTGATTTGTTTATTTGGATTTGTTTCGTTTCTTCCGTCGATCTGTTTGCTGTTAGCGCATTTCTGAATTTTGTCTCCGTTTTTTATCAGCACTTCATGATTAATTGGTAGCTGGGATTCCGTCAGTTGTTGTTGACTCATGAATTGGTATTACTCGTGGGGGCAAAAAAATGCCTTCACCCGGAGATATACTTGAAAAAAAAAATAGATTTTTCTATTTCAAAATGTAGAAATCAGAAGGCAAAAACATTAACTATATTGCACGTGCGTTTTTTTTTCTCACTTGCATTTGTCTAATTAACTATTTTTGTTTTACAAATTTTCGATCAATGATTTAAAGAGATTATTGTTTCGTGTCTTACAGAGTCATTTTCTGTTTTCAGGTAGCGCATGTGGTATTTAATGAAATTACAAAAACATTTATTCTCAGAAGTAATTGATTACGAGAGATTACACGTTAGTATAATTTAAAAGCGACTTCCCTTTTTCTAATCATCTGTTGAAGTACGAAATTGAAGTTTTTTAAATTCATTTACTCCAATTTAACTCCCAATTTAACTTTTTTGTTTGTGAAGATGAATATCTACTGACGTAAATTTGGTTGTATATATGAAATTCGATTTCAGATTAACTTGTATGCTTCAAGGAGAAAAAATTGCATGCCCGCTCCAACTGGAGCCTTAGAGGAGTGTCCGTTGTGTAAGAGAAGGGAAACGGGAAATATGGGGTATTTGAAGAAGTGCCTTTTGAGTTCAGACCCGCAGGTTTTTATAACAGTCTGTACAGAGAGTGAGTGCTTTTACTATAATTCAGATTCAAACATCGATCTAGTCGATCTGCCTGCTCAGTGTGACAGTTCTGATTTTTCCGGCCTTGACTCTGCGTTGTTTATATTGACTAATTCGGTATACCTACGGCTCAGTTACCGAAACAATAATATTCCTGCTGATGACGTTTTGTCGAGAATACTTTATCTTGCTCTAGAGCGGAAAAATTACATCTACGAAATTAGAAATTATTTAGTCCAAAATGATAAACTCTCTATAAAGGGCAATGATATTGCTGCAAGTTTATCGTTTTTGATGAAATTATCAAATTTCATTGGAAAAGCTTTTCGAACTAAGTGGGCTATTACTGCTGACTGCTTGAAAGGCTGCAAAGACAGTGGCGAAGACACTTGTCTTTTGTCAGTAAAGGATGTAGGATTCATGAAACTTTCTGAAACTCCAGCTGTTGTTATTCCTGGCAAGTCATGTCGCTCGTGCAAGCTGTCCAAAATCAACCGTTATATAAGTCTGCAAGAAGCTTCAAATTTTGTAATTGTTCAAACCCGAAATGGTATAAGTCTTCCTTTCGAAATTGGCCAAACGTCTTTTCGGTTAGATGAAAATACTTACAGACTGCATGCAGTGACAACAGTGCATAGGATGGGATATGACACCTTTTTATGCGATTCATTGGGACATCTACGCGAGTTTTTTGAAAGTGAAACTAAAGTGTCGAAAAGATGTACCCTAAAACTCGGAAGTTTGAAATCAGCCAATATCAGATACATAGTTTTTGAACGACTTTTCGAAGAATCTCGCTCCTTCGGAGGCTCTGATGTAAACGCTAATTTTAGTAATGTGGTGAAACCTTTTCAAGACCTGACAGCAACTATTAGAAAGCAAAGTGGAAGTAGAATTCATACAAGTCCAATGAAATATGGACCGGCTGCGAAAAAACCTCGTCTGTACTCTGGAAAAACGAACGATCTACCTGAAAAACCATTCAGCAGTTATACAGCCCAGAAAAAGACAAATAGCGATTCAACCTCTAAAGATAATAATCAAGGCGACGCTCTAGTATGGCGCAAGCAATTTCAGAAACGATTTTCCAATCTTACCTCGAACTCACGTAAATCGAAAGTCAGTAACTACATTGCAACTTTACAGAGCTTGAACATGCAGATACTGGAATCAGAGAGTCGCCTTGTTCAGAAAAATACAGCAACCACCGTGGGCTCGTTCACGAGCTTTTCGGTGAACAAAAGCGCGTTATCGAGCCGCGTGACCTCACCAGTTCAAGTCCCCAAAAATTTGTCAAACAAGGTAAAGCCATCAAACTAGGAATATGTAATTTAAACTATTTTTAAAAGAATGTCAGTTATAGCTGCTTGATAACCAAATTTTTAGTAGTTTTTCTTATTTTAAGGATAAAGAACATTAAACTTTTTACGAAGCCTAATTTGTTTCAGTCCCTTTGGAGTGAGTCGTCTCCCACGCGCAGTTCAGCAATTACTCCAGTTGGTACATTCCCCTCTTTAACCCAGCAATCATCATCCCAATTCGCACCTGTACAGTCGCAGCCAATAGATCTAGATGCCGACTGTTTCGACAGCTTCGATTTAAACTTCGACGCTCTTGAAACATTTGAAGAGAATAAGTCTGTCACTTCAGATTTGAATATAAACAATAACGGAGATTTTTCAAAACTCAATGGAGATGAAAGTGGAAATGATTTGGATTTTTTCGAAAAGTTGTTAAAAGACAGTTAAAAGTTTTCAGAGATAAAACTTCGGTTGTTCTCTTTTTGACTGTTTTTAAATGACAGCTTTTGAGAAACTTTGATGAGAACTTGTTTTGGTTGCTTTGCAGTTGTTGCTGTTTTCACAGCGTTGTTTAACTTCTCTCAAAATTAATTTAAACCCAGAGGTGCCCATGGGTTGCCTCTTTTGCGGTGCTACATGAACAGATTTGTTCAACATAGATTGTACATTATATAATTCCTGTTTCAATTTATACATTGAATTAAAGCATACATTGTTTTTGTTGAACTCTTTTTGAAACTTTTCTTCTAACGGAAAGGTGTTAATCGCTCAAGGCTAGTGATAAGATTGATTTTAAATGACAGCTTTTGAGAAACTTTCATTCAAAATTTTACTAGTCGAAAAAGCATGTCGAAAAAGCAATCGGTACGAGTTGTGCGTCTGTTTTTAAAGTCGATGAACGTAGGTCAGACTCTTATATAGGTCGTGATGTTCTTTTTTCGGAAAAAGTTTTAAAATTTGTTCAGGCTCAAATTTACTTTTGCGCCTTTTGACTTATGTTTTCCTTGTTAGTTCGATTCATTTCCTTTATTTAGACAAGAAAAGCTTGTAATTTAGTATTAACTATCTTTTTCCCCTCCTGAGACGCAAATATTGTTGCGACACAAATATTGTTGCGACGCGAGTATTGTTGCGACAAAATGTGTTCATTTTGATCAATAACCATTATCAAGCTATTAAGTACAGCCTATTAAGCATTGGCTGTACTTAAACAAGCTCTTAAGTACAGCCAATGCTAACGATATTAACCCAGACTTTTATATTACAAATAGCACTTAAGCTTCCAGGTATCATGGATATGTAGCGTACAAGGGAAGGCGACCAGCAGCAAATTAAGAGGGTTCGACCCTAGACAGGGTCGCATGTTTTTAATGAATTTTTTCGTATACAAGTTGAAATGCGTCCTTTCTATAAATTGTGGCATGTTAGTTGATAACTTTTTTTTCAAATTGACTGGTACTGCTAATGCGTCATAATAAGCCTGTGTCACTTAGCAATTATGTAGACTCATCATCGGCGTGCGTCACTTAAGAAATTTTGTAGACTCAAAGTTATAATCATTCAGTTTCTCCCAGTAGCGTTATCGGTCATATTTTTGCTTGTGTATGCAAGTAATTCGCCTCTGCGTGAAAGGAAGGCAAACTCCGCTATCGATCAGCAAAAGTGTGAAGGTCATTAAAAACATGATCGACTTCTAGTCTTGAGAATGTAATTTAATTTTCAGATTTACCAGTGAGTTAAAAAAAATTTACTTTTGGATCCTCAGAATTTGGGCCCAATTGAAAGAAAAATTTGTAGAAAGCCAGCCTGCATCACTGGCTGCGACCATTTTCTACAAAAAGTTATGGCCCCCGGAAAAAAAACGTTTTTGATTTTTTGACTGTTTTTCGATTTTTTTGTACTCAAAAACTACCCTGACAGTTCTCAGACTAATGGTTCAATCGAAAAGCAGGTTTAAGGGTTGTTGGCTGCTTTTCGAAAAAACTACCGTGCCGAATCTGTGAGTAAAGATTCAGTTGAAAAAACTGGTTGGGAGAAAGATTCCTGCAGAAGCCGATATTTCATTTTTTTTGTTATATTTGTGAATTCCAAGTTCTGAAGTTTACCGTTTTCTATTTTTTGCAGTTTTTCAGTCTTCTCGAAAACAACCCTGCCAAAACCGATATAAGTTTTTTAATAGAGAAAACAGGCTATGGGATTTATCCTGTTTCAAGTGGTTGCCCGTATACGGGTTCGGTCAGAAGCTTAGTTTGCGAAAAGATTCCTCTACGCTGCCAAATTTCAACCGTTTTTCAAAAATTTTGTTTTCAATTTCCTTGTTCTTGTAGTCTTCTGTTGGCTAGGTTCTTTCGAGTTATTGGCTATCCTTTATTTTATTTTTTCGTGTTTGCAAAGTTTTTTTTGGTACTGCAAATAGCTTCCTCAAGGTTTGTCACTCACATTTGATTTTTTGCAGTTTTATTTTAGTTTTTCTTTAAGTTCAGTTCATTTGGATTGTTAAAGTGAACGCAAACTTTAAGTTTTTCCTCTTATCTTGTATTGCGATTTTTAATGTAATGCAAGTGTTGCGAAGCTAGAAAGAAAGAATTTATCTCTCCAATAATTGTTCAGTAAGGTAATAAAGCATCAGATAATGAGACTTGGCGAGGACAGACAACGGGATCCTAGGATCCACCAAGCATCTGCCCTAAAAGATCATAAAATATTTCAATGAACAGATTTGAGATTTAAAAAATATCAAACAAAAACTTTCTTTTCCAGAATTTTTTGTATTCATCAAGCAAACATACTCCCAAAAACAAGCAGAGCCAGTTTCATATAATAGCAGTATCTATCACGCTACAACAGTCAGTATTGATGAAGTAAAAACAGAGAGAAGAACCTGTTTACTGAACAAATGCATTAACGTTTTTTTTGTGACTTTCGAAAACTGAATGTGAATTTTTGAAACTTCGGAATAATTGTAACATGATTTAAAGGACTCCAAAAATACTAAATTCACGTTTTCCATATTTAAGCGTTTAGTTTGCACGATAACCAAATTCAAAAGAATTTTCTTTAATATTTTTTTTCCTTTTTTTCAGATTTATGAGAAAACTTCTTTTAATATGCGATATCCCAAAAACTAGAAGGTTTTGGACAGTCAACTTCTTTCCACGGGGAATGCCCAGCCGCATTTAACCAGTGGATCCAAAGTTGTCACTTTTGACAGTTCATACATATATTAAACCAGAGCAAAATTTTGAAATCAAAAAAAGAATCTTTGAGTTTGTGGGAAAATCTTGATATTGCGTTAGAAGAACTTTTTTGAATTTCAATGGGCAGTAAGTTAAACAATTTGCATCCTCTATATCTTATCGAGAATCTTTTAAATTTTCGTTTGCAAAATTTTCCACAAGTAATCTCGAACAAGATCTCTTGTTAGTTAATGAGAATTTTGAAAACTAAACGTTACGTTTTAAAAAGACTCACAGTGCGTTTTTTTGCTGATTTTGTGACGAGTTTTAAAAGCGCGTAGAAATGGTACTCAAAAACTCAGCAATTTTTTTTTCGGAAAATCTTCACACTGATCTTGCCGTTTTCTGCAAAAATGTATTTCAAATGTTCTTTTGCGTTACGAAAAATCGTTTTAAAACAAAAAACTACAGCACCCGTACAACAAAATGCGATACTGATGAATAGGGACTACATTACTGCTGCAGTAGTCCAGTAGTTGGCCCCTTAGTACATAATGTCGTAGTTTTGATATAAAACCACATTGTTTTTCAAGTCTCAATTTAACGAAATCTATGTGACTGATAAATGAGAGTTTGCAATCTAAATAAATACTCAAATACTTGCATACGGGTTTGACTTTTTTTTGACAACAATTCACTTTGAAGTTACAATTGGAAGCACTTGATTTAACGTTCATTTGCACAGTTTTAGATATAATGATTACTAACTTATTTGCTATCAACCATCTAATTAAAACATCTAGGTCGGAATAAGTGATGCGAAGCTAGGCTTCGCCTCTGTGTAAAATATTGGCTTAGATACCTCCTTTTGAGTATTTTTAGAAGCAAAAAAGTTCTAATACTTTACAAGGTTGACTTAAAACTTTTTTTCGAGTTTTTAAGTTTTTCTAGAAACATGTTTTTTTTTCGGCGCAGTGTGTCTGCTCAAGAACTGTCAGCTTTGTTACAGCTTTGTCAATGTTGGTTATTCATACCGATAATTTTTCAACCCTCTATTGTCTTGCTTCTTGGCATTTTTCGTTGAAATGATTTTTATTCTTTAATTTGAGACAAAAATAGGAAAATTTTTGGTCGATCATGTCATTCGATAGTTTTTTTTTGTACAGCTCTCATGTATATTTCCGTCGGTTTAATTGTCATATTATGTTTTTGTAGTAAGGAAAGTGATTCGAAGCCTCGATTCGCCCCTGTGATAGTTTAAAAACCGATGAACGTAATTCAGACTGTTATAGTCAAGATTTTTTTGTTGTTGAGGAAAAGCCTTTAGTTTTGCTCAGGCTCAATGTTGCTTTTCTTATAGTTTGTTTTTTGGTTTATTTTTAGTTTTTGTTCCAGTTTAATGCTAAAAGGAAGGCAAACTCCACTAAAGAACAGCTAAAGTGTAGAATTCACGAAAATCATGATCGACTTCCACCTTCCGTAATGTAATTTAATTATCTGATTTCCAAGCAAAATTTTACCGGCTGATCCAGTTTTCTCAAATTGAGTTAGTTTTTTTCCGAATGTTTTCAATCATAATTAATTCTAAAAATTCCAAGGCTATCAAGGCTGTACATTTTTTCCAGGAATTTCCAAAGCTGACATTTTTTTCGAAAATAAAAACAAGTCTGAATGATTACCCATGTAAATATATTTTTTTCCCATAATAACTTGGTAAATTATCGATTAAACAACATTATAATTGAATTAGTTGTAGTGCGGATGAAAAGAAACTCCGATTTACCAATTTTCACAAATAAAAACTTGCTTTCCGTATTTCGTTTCACAAATCATTAGAGAATAAAATCGGAAATTTTGAAGGTTTAAATCGGGTTGTTTTGAAGGTTAATTCATCTTTACATTGTTCGTTTCACCTTTCACGTGACACATGTTTAGAAATACCTATGTCGACTTGTTAATGTACCAATATATTGCACTGTAAATAATTACTGGACGCTAGTTTGCATAGGCGGGACGCTAGTTTGCATAGGCGGCTAGGCCCAAATGAATTTTTTTGACTTTTCTCGAAAACTACCCGGCCAAAACTGGGTTTTTGGGTTGAATCGAAATAACAGATTGTATGAATCTCTCTGCATGAGCATCTATGTCCAATTACAAAAAGTGTTATAATTTTCGGAAATGTCACCTTTCTGATTTGTTGACCGTTTTTGGGTTTTTCTCGATAAATTTTCGGACAAATCTGGTATCATAGGTTTTTCTTCGGCACAACAGGTTGTTGAAAACCTGTTTTTACAATTTTTACGCCCAGTTTCTTTTAGAAAAAAGTTGTCCTTCAAACAAGTGAGAGTTTTAAAGCTTTGACCGTTTTTGGAAGTTTTTTTTTTGCTCGAAACTTACAGTGCCAATTATCAGGTTAACTGTTTAGTCAAGAAAGCTGATTTTTGCAATTTTCTCTACTTTACCGACCACTTCTTACTTTTAGCAAAAAAAAACCAATTTCGGAAAAACACGTTATCCAGAAGTTTTTTGAGTATTCTTAAAAACTACGCT